CACTTTCAGCTATTCAATCACAAATATGCCCAGGTTGCTCTCTTAATTCTTATATAATTGCCAACAAATACACAATCAATATTTTTATTAATCTCTTTTCTAGATTTTTTGGTCAAGTTAATACATATAACAAAACTCTTAACTTCAATGCCAATCATCTTGATCTTATATACTTTATTGCAATTCGACATTCTATTCAAATTTCTAATTCCTCCAATATTAACATTACAATATACTTAATTTCAACAATATTTGAACCTAATACTTTAATAGACAATCTTCAACAAATCACCAACTACAATGCACAACTATCAGAACTTCATTTTTATACAGATGGCTCTGTTACCAATCTGGATACCTCACAGTGCTCTATGGGCATCAGATGGGCCCAAATTTTAAACAACAATATACTGAATACCTTCCAAGCCCAAACAAGATACTGGCCCTGCTTATTTAAAGCTAAGCTCACTGCTATCTTAACAGCCTTTATTACTGCTTCTAGAAATTGTACTATACATATATATACTGATTTACAGTCTGTAATTTCTAAATATCACAGTCTTTCAAACTTAACTCATACTCTACTCTATACATATACACTATACTTTTCATTATAGAATACACTTATTAACTTTATTAAATTATATAATATTTATATTATTTTTTACAAAGTTATTGCTTATTAGAACAATCAGTATAATAATTTTGCAGACCAACTCGCATGCAGTCATTACAATCTGCCATATCTTACCTTTATGCCCTACAATATTTACAACTCTGCATACACTTAAATTTCGAAAACTTTCTCTTAAAATTACCTATCTATTACAGTATCTATACAATATGTCATGCACATATTTATGCATTATAGATTACACAAAACTGTTTTCAAAAATGGCACAAAATCTTTAACCAAATTAATTGGCAAGCTATCTGGCTATACATCAACAATAATCAAAAAATCTCAAACTTCTCGTACAGCTTTTAGTCCTCTATTCTTAAATCCTTTAAAATCAAAATTCTACTAGATGATCTTTCTACTTCACAAATTTTATACAAATAACATCACTCATACTCACCTACCTGTCACCAATATTATCAAATCAGTTCTCATCTCTACTGGACAATCTGTTCATTCAATCAATTGCTATACAGCTTTATAGATATTTCATTACAACATACTTTAAATACTAAAATACTCGACATCATTTCAAATACTATAACTAATTTATATAACCAAATTAAGCTGTTGAATAGTATGACTATTTACAACATACCAGATTTATCTTCAATTTTTTCAACTCTAACAGGCCTAATGCCAAATGAACTTATTGACATTATTGCAAATCTGTCATCCAAAAAAGTAACTACAATACTGGTTAACAAGTTTTTACTTTATTTTAACCAACAAATTTATCACAAAATCTGGATCTTATATTGTATCTCAAGATCTATAGCTCAAATTTCTAAATATAATATATCTTTAAATTCTATTTCACTTTTATCACATTCTCTTCTACTCAATTCTATTAGTTTAAAAATAAACTTCTAGTATATTCAATAGATTAAATATCAGACTAATCATCTATACATAATTACTAACACTCAAATCTAGGTGAGCCTTGGCCACTCCAGTTGGTTTAAATCATAGATAAATTAGTTTAAACTTTTATTCTTTCTATAATATTTTAAAAGCAGAATTGTACTTCATGTAAAATCTTAATTAAATATTCAATAAAGATAGAGGCATGGCCTTACTATTAATATTAAAAAAAAAAATGTTATAATTAATGTTATATAAAACTTTAATGCAAATTCATAATAAGACTATCAAGCATAAAAGATTAAGAAACCAAAAATACAAAAGTCTATTTGAAAATTCTAAATAAAGTAGTAATACAAACTTTTAACAATACTATTAAATTAATAAAAACTTATAAAACATCTTAAAAAAAATAATTAGATAAATAAATAATAGATATATATGAGAAATATATATACCAATTAGGCTATTAAAATTACTAAAAAAAAATATATATAAATATATTGTATTAGGTTATCTAAATTGGTAATTTGAAAAGTTCTGTTAGTTCTAAGTAGCAGTTAATAAAAAATAATAAAAAAGATATTAGAAAGATAAGTATTAAGATTTAAATAAACTTTATAAGAATATAGCAGTTTAATAATTAACTTTAACTACAATACTAATCTAATCTAAATAGTATCAAATTAGTTGTAAATATAAAATATAAAAGACTTTAGTAAGTTAATACAAGTTAAAAGTTTTTTATATAAATAAACTGTTTTAAAAACTTTATAATTATAATATACTTTTATTAATATTGACTAAAACAGTTAGTAAGATAAGTAAGTAGTAAATACAGAAACTAGAATATTTAAATTAAAAATTTGTCTAAAGGTTCTATACTAGTTGTCATTTCTAAAACTTGTCTATAAATTACTTAAATTAGATAATAACTGAAGTTGTATAAGTAGCTAGTTGTATACTATTTTTATAGTTGTATCTGTAGTTTTTATACAAACAACTATTAGCTAAAACATATTATTCATAAAATTTTAAATTACAAGTACTCATCTTAATATTAAAAAAAACTTATTCAATATAAAACTGTATATATTTGTATTTTTAAAATTAAATCATTTTTTATAAAATTTTATTAATAAAATTTTTAATTTTTATAAAATTTTAAATAATTTTATATAATTTTATTTTACTATTTTTAATAGGTTTAATTTTAAAATTTAAAAATAAGTTAATTTAAAAATAAAAAAAGAATTTCAAGCTTAAAGTTTATAGTAAATTTATATGTTTTTATCAGAAGTTTTATTATAATTTATTATATAATATAATATATTTTTTGACTATTAAATAAATAATTTGTTAAATAGTTATTAAATAATATATTAAATAAACAATAATTATACAATACATCTATAATGTTTATAATGTTAATAAGTTTTTTGCTAAAATTTAGAGTTAGAGTGCAAAATAAACATTGGTTTTTGAAGATCCTGAACATTTTTACTTAATACCTCTGAGTAGCAAACTCTAATGTTCAACATTTTAGTAAACCCGTGAATAAATTATCTAATATATTAGCAAAATAACAAACTTAATAACAAAAATAATATTTTTGATATATTTATAATAAAAATATCGAAATTATAGTTTTTTTAAAAACTTGATTTATAATAACCTTTTTAAAAACTAGTATACATACGTCACTCTGATTATATCGACATTTTTGAGACATTAGTAAAAATTTTCAAAATGTCAATACAGTATTATACCGACATTTTATATTAAATTTTTGAAAAAAAATGTCGATATAGAAAGGTTTTGCTATGAGGTCGGTATAACCAGAATGTATAAGCTTCAAGCTTATACTAATGTTTAGTTTTTAATTAGAATATTATTTAATATATTTTATAAATAATTATTACTTGTTCTAAAACTATAAAAACTTTGCCTTTTTTACCAAGACAAATAGATATTCTTTTTCTGAATTTAGAGTTTTAAATACTAAAGACATAAGACATACCGATATACCGATATACATCGATTTGCTTTGTAAATCCACTAGAGCGAACCACATGTTGTATGGCTAATCCCAGCAAAATTCATAATGATAAAAGAATTATAAATAAAGGAATTATAAAACAAAAATGGAATATTTTGACCTTGCTAGCAAGATGACAATCCATGTTATTATGAATATCACTAAATGAAATGTTTGTAGGGATTTCCGGTGGCTTTTTTTTAAAAAAAAGAAAAACCTAACAAGATGATAATTCATATTATTATGAAGAGGATTTCTATTTATACCCAGTGGGTATGATACCCGGTGTAAGAAAAAAAATCAAAAATTTTACTAAGAAAACCATCTTAAGTAAAATTGTTCAGAATAATTTTACATATAACCACACAAGTTCTTAAATCTTATCACATATAACCATTATACCGAGTATTAAACTTCTACGTATTATGAATATCGCTGAATGAAATGCCTACGTATAGGATTTCTGGTGTTTTTTTGTTTGAAAAAGAAATTTATTAAAAAAATAGATATATTACACATGGATTGTATTAACGGAAATTAAATCTACATAAATGTAACCACTTGACCAGAATTAAATTTATTAATTTGTAATTTTTTTGAGTGAATTAATTGCGCAAGCAACGTGCAACCGGAAGAATTGTCTTACCCATTACGTTTCATTTTGTTAAAATCAAAGAAACGTGATCATAATATAACGAATATCTTCTAAGAATAACTGATATTATAACCAAAATCTGGATGACTAGTGAAATTGAAACACATCGTGACTAATTATATGCGGGGATTAACACGACGCTTACACGACACACTAACGCAAAGATTTATAAGACGATTGTATTTGTAATATTGGAATGACCGATGAATTCTAATACATTATAATACATACATAATTTATAATATATGATCATAAACCAAAGCAATAGTTTGTGATTATAATGACTTTAGAAGTCGTCATCTAATTACCCAAGAGAATGTAAAGAAATATTTTGTGTAACTGGCATTATAAATTTACACAATCGGCATCTATCATGAGCATTTATCTGTACTATATAAAAAAATAATGACTTGTGGCGGTCAATAAAAAGAAATGAAATATAAATAAATAAAGGAACTATATAAAAAAAACTTTATAAGAGGTGTGTGTCAAACTGTGCATAAGTGCTATGTTGTCTTGGTTGGCTGTCTCCCCCTGTACTACTTAAATCACTCCAAATACAATACTTTCCTGTTTATAGTACTCGATTTGCCTTTCTTCTCACCTTTCCTGACTATATGGTATCTCTTCTTTCTTTTTGACTAGAATAGTTTTGCGCATCTCTGGTAAACGTCACAAGACTAATACCGCGTTCAACCTATAGCCACGAAGACCGTTTATATCGCTTTTTAGAAAAAAGAATAAAATAAAATTTTGCATTAATGATGCAGACACTGGATTTGGCAAATTTTCCTGTTACAGAAACTCTTAAGATGCTCGCCTCACTGCTGGAAAAGATTACAAACGCAAATGACCACTTAAAGTCAACTCATAATAACATAAACCATTCTGAATCAACGTCGTCTTCCACGACAAAAACATCCACTCCATCCTTCACGCGTTTTCACGCACGTTCAGTTCCTTCAATAGATATTCATTCATATCTTTCAAGGATATTAAAATACTGTCCTACCACTAATGAATGTTTTCTTTCATTATTGGTATATTTTGATCGGATGTCAAAGAATGCATCCGCTGCTTCGGGGAAAACCTTTTCTATCGACTCTTTTAACATTCACCGTCTGATAATCGCCGGTATAATGGTGTCCTCCAAATTTTTCTCTGACGTATTCTTCACAAATTCAAGATATGCAAAGGTATAGTAAGGGTACATCCAGATTCTACAAAGTTTCCAAGATGCACCGCACCATTTTTTTTCTTTTGTAGATGTACGATGATGGCGGAGAACTCCCATTTGCTTTTTTCTTATCAGGGTCTAAAGAAATTTATTTATCTATAAATCTCCCAAATTCTTTAACTGTGTGGATCATTTAGCCTCGAGTACCTTTTAATTCCTGATGTCCGATCTACATCCACTGGCAAACTGTCATTTATTTTCATGGGAATTCATTCCGATTCAGTTGTTAATCGGTGAATTCGATTATATCGACCCTATATAACTTAAATGAAATGATACAGTGACCGTCTCATCATATCATCGTGCTAATTCTATACTGTTTTTGCTATTTATTTCAATACTCTTAATATAAAATGATTGGATTAATATAATTTTGCTTTATTTTTTCTCCTTTGAATTCCTTTTCGTATGTCTATTGCATTTCTCGTCATTAATAGGTGGGAGGACTACCAGTATCGGAATTAAATCAGCTCGAGTTGGAATTTCTTATATTGAACGATTTTCGCTTAGCAATAAGTGTGGAAGAATTACAACGATACGGCGATCAATTACTCAAACATTGGATATTAGAAGAGGAAATGAAACAAGGGGGGGGCATATATGATAGTATGCGATTTCAAAATAGTCCTACTAACCCTAGATGGGACTCAGGGCATAACTATGAGAAGAACGTCACACAACCTAAAAGGACACGACGTTTACATTCTAACGATGACACAAGTATAAGCAGAAGTGGTGGTTCAAAGCCATTAAAAGATGATGATCAATATGATAATGGTTACTATTTTAGTCGCCATCGTCGAGACAACAGTTTCTCATCGACAAAATCATTGAACATCCCATATCAATCTTCTTTAACTTCATCTCCACAACCATATTCAACGCATATATCAAAAACACCACCCCCACCATCTTTATGTAGTTCCTCACCATCTACTTCAAGTAGTTCACTTCCAATTCCAAATTCTATAAATGGTTCACCAATGCATACCCCTTTCGCTTCAAGTAGTATGTTTAGTATCCATCATCCACATTATCATTTTCTACATAAACCATATCCTCCTCATACACATCATTCACACCATCGATCAGCGAGTATAGAAGGGTCGACCATAAAACGGGCGAATAGCAGTGGCTCTTTATTGAGTCGTGCAAGGGGTGGTGATTTATCTGACGACTTACAATATCAAAGACGTTCCTCACCGAAATTGGTTAATCCTGAAGATCACGCTTATCGAACTGCAGCTGTTTCTCCATATTATTCTGCACTTCCGATATCAAATACTTCATCATTAACAACTCCAATGAATAACAGTAATAATAGAGGCGTTCCTCAACAACCGGCTTTGGTAACTCCATCTCCTACAAGGAACATCGCAAATCTCATGAGACGCATGTCTCATGATTCACCTGCAAATACATCACAATATCCACAGTCTACCTATCATTACGCTGGATATCCTCCTCAATCATCAACGCAGTCTCTACCAACCACTCCTGTGACTACATTACCTTCAATGCAAGGAATATCGTTTAATCCTTCAGTCATAAGTAACGCCGCCCATTCTACTATGGCTGCTGCTTTGAATTATGCTCGTAGAGCTTCTGTTGTTTTACCACAACTCCCACGTAACCTAGGTGGAATTCATAGCAGTATGCCTTCGCCAGTATCAACTGTCGCTTCTGATAACATGGGACCTGGATTGGTTAGACGTGGATCATATCCTACAGTATTGAATGGAAGCAGTCTTTCTAATGGTAATAATAATAATGGTAGTGGTAACGGTAGTATTCATTCAGAACCAAGGAGTTCTAGTTCTAATGTAGTAATGAACAATGGATCTTCGTCAGCACAAACGTCTGTATCTTCAAATCCTATAATGGTTAATGGGCATGGACACACAAGTGGTATAGGAAACATATTTCATAAAATTACTAAAAGGGGCAGTTGGGTAATTGTTAATCATCCTCAATCGAATACCAATCATGGCCATTATAATCACCATGCACATCAAGCTAATCATCAGCATGCCAAACTTAATAAACATGGCTATTATTACCAACAGAATTATGACTATGGCAATGTATCTCGATCATCTTCATCTGATTCTTGCCATTCTTCATCGACTACAGGTTCGGATACCTCAGGAGGCTCAGGAATGGAATCGTCGATCCCGACATCGCAAACTGCCACAAACGGAAGTGATAATTCAAATATAAATGGTCCGAATAAGACTCTTAAAAATTGAAGTTTAATTGAATTGAATTAAATCTAATTGATGTGTAATGAAGGTTTTTTATTATTTTATCAGGTGAAAATTAGCCTATTATTAACCGATGAAAATGAAATTAGAGTTGGACACTAAATTGAAATGGACTGTTAAATCAAGGTGAAAAATATTATGTTTTTTGGTGGTGGGTTTTTTCATTCTCGATTTGAGATAAAGGATTGCATGTTTCGCACTTTTTGTAGTTTATTTGCTCTTTTATATATTTGAATCATATGCACCAACATTTATTATTATTACTATTATCATTCTTATTACTATTATTATTACAATATGTGGAATATATTACACAAATTTATTATTATACATGAAGTTTATACCTGAATTTTAAATTTTATATACACATATACATAACTCACCTTTTCTTGTATATCTTTTTTATATTATATCCTTTAACCCTTTTTTTTTTTAGTTATAAATAGCCTTTGATTTCTTATTTTTAAAATAACCCTTGGGAATTTTTCCTTTTGTAATTATTTTTATCATCAATCTTACAAAAATTCTTTTATGTGTTATATATATATATACTATTATATACTATTATATATGCTGGTTTTACAAACAAATATAGCGAAAAAAATACTTTAAACTTGGATTTATTATTGCATTATTAAATTTTTTCGTGGTATGTCTTTTTTTTTTCTTTTTTTTTTAGAGTTGGTGCGGGTGTGCTAATTGGGATTAGTAGGAGAATTTTTAGCTAAAAAGTTCTATTCGTCATCTAGAGAATTTTAATCCTTACACTATGACCGAAATCATATGATAACTTAATCGCTATAGTGTTTAAATACAGAATTCTGAGCTGGTATGATATCATAGCGTAGAGGATAACAAAAATTCTTTTTTCCGATAGAATAATATTACGATAACGATAAGCATTGTATTTTGTTAATTCATGTGATTGTATATTTTGTCACTAATTTACGTATACCCGCATTACAGAAAGTTATTTTAATTTAACCGTATTGGTATGCAGGGTCTATCATTATAGAATCATTAACGGTTATATAACTTTGATGTTGTAAAACCACTAAGTACGCGATTTATATAATTCTTATGTAATATTCGGTAAAATTACTTACAAGTTCATGGCTGGTTGGCTTGCACTAATGTAGTGTGGACTGCCGACTAAACAGTTATACTTTAAATTTTATAGATTAATTAATATTACAATATTGTAAAGAACCTATAGATTATTTGTTATTATTATTGGTTTAGAGTTTGTGAATATATGGCGATTTGAAATTGTCATGTGATTTACAATAAATTTTTATGTATTTAAATTTTTATTTGATTTATAACATGCAAAAAACATATTATGTTTTTGTATTGTTATAATTATTAAATATATATCTTTTTTTATTTCTAACTTATTGCATTTATTTATTTAACACAAATTCTTTTATAAAAAAACTTGTACGTACATACGTATTTATTTATGGTATTACTGAGTTTTACAAGTTCTGGTCACAGTATTAGTAATGAAAATATCTTGAGCCGTTGGGTATTAGTGGAAACTTCGTTTCGGCTTGTACACCAGGGTATTTTTAATTGATACCTTGTGATTTGATTTGGTGAATGAGTATTATGTAAAATAATAATATCTAAGCAAATATATAAATTCGGTGTTTATTTTTACGTATTAGATGAAATACTTATATAAAATTTGAAACTGAGGTTATTTACACACTTACTAAAATAAGTAAATATAAATTGTTTTCAAGATTTTCCCTCTAATAGTTGTAGAATGATCTAATTGGAAAAAAATAATTGTGATTATCATTTAAGCCAAACAAAAACCTAGACTCAATAATAAAGATGGGCAGGGTAATAAATGAGTAATAAGTAATAAATACTTCCCTTACGTATTTTTACGGTTCAAATACTTATTGTTTCTTATTACGACAGACTATTACTTATTACGATTCACAAATCAAATACAACCTGGATGATATGACTTTAAAATCAGATCAGGTTTATTTCGCAAATACCCGTTTTTTTCTTCACTTATTATTACCATTACGTAAAATTTGGTAGTATTTCTTAGTGATAAGTAATAATACATATTGACAATCGCCCATCTCTACACGATTTCCACCTTTTTTGTTATTGTGATTGGATAAAATTTAAAATCCGCGTTTCGCAAAATAAATTTTTAGTAAAATGGTTGTAAGAATTATATACTTTCAATTAATTTTCAACTAATCGAAAACGAGCAATATATATAACTTGCATGACATTGATTTTTTACAAAAAATTGATGCGTATTTATATGATTCGCGACATCATAGTAGTGATTTGAACCGAAAAAAATATCCTCAATCGGTTAACCGAACCGAATTATTTTATGTCAACCGGTTGAGATTTATAATCTCTACTTTTCGCTCTTACCTCGGAGCTTCACTCGAATTTTTGATTCAACCTTGCTCGTCTCTTATGTTCATTCAGTTTCTTTCCGGAATCTTGGTCATTTACTCACTTTATCGTCATAGGAGGACATTCGTCTGATTGGCTGATGTAAATCAATTGCCCGGGTAACTTATTTATACACTTTAAAGTACTTTTTGAGAACACAACGTTTCACTTATACAAAATCATCGCAAAAGCCACTTTTCGCTTCGTTAGAGCGTCTATATTCACTGTGTAAAAATAATCAAAAATAATTAGCTTTTCCGTGAACTTCACTTAGAAGCGAATTTTCCTATTTATTATATACTAGGTTATTATATATAAGCACTATAAGTACTAAATTTCAAAAAACGGTCCACTAAGAAGGCGATCAAGATACTTTACTGTAAGTTTTGGTAAAGAGCTTTGTATTTAGTTATGCTAATAGTGGATTTTAATATCTTGCACATATTCGTTAGATCTTTACATGCGAACAATATTACGGAGATTAATTTGTTAGATCTTTAGATCTTGCATTCTTATGCGCCAACAAATATGCAAAATTAACATATTTTATTTTCATTTTTATTTATTTTATTTATTGTTATTTAATGTATTTATATTTTGTAAATTTTTAAAATTAATATTATACAAATTACAAAGTGTAAATATAAATTTATATTTATTGAGATCGAAATTTTGGAATGCCTCTTCTAATGCAAGTGCTTTATATCTCACAGGTTCAACTTCGTCATTGTCATCACAAGAAGTATTCTTTTTCAATTTTTTAACAAGGCAGTGCAAGTATTTAAATTCATTACTGCTATAACAAAACTTATGATATGTATGACTACAGACTAGAATTTCAATAGAACCTATATTAACAAAAAAAGAAAAATTGTTAGATACATTATAGTAGTGAAATAAATCTAGTTTACACAAAATATTAAAACCTAAGAGGAGATGACGTAGTTGTGTTTTTGATATTTTTACTCCAATTAACAAAATAATTTCAATATTTTTTGTTATGTTTTCTCTTTGAAGATAAATTTATCTGTAATGAAGAGATATTAGTGAATTATAATAAAAAAAAATGTAAATAAATATTTGTAAATGAATGTGTTTTTTTTAATTAAAGTTGTTATATTTTGTACCAAACATTCTTATATTATCCAAGTATAAACTCATTACTATGTAAACATAGCTAATTAATATAATGCTTATATTTAATTATTTGTTATACTTCTTTATATTTTTGCATGCCTTTATACAAAAAACTATAAAATATTTCAACTGTTAAATCTAAAAATTTTAGTAATAAAATATATTAGAAAGAAATATTAATATTGCTTTTATATAATTTTTGTGATAAAATTTAAAAAATATAATCTAACTACAAAACAAAATTTCAAATATGTGTTAAAATCACCAAATTGAAAGGATATTAAATAAATATTTAGTACAAATAAAATTATATTATTAAAAAAATCTTTAAGTATAAAATATTTAGCATTTTTATATAAAGATCCAAATTTTGTTTCAATAGTTAAAAAAATCTTTTATTAGGCATTACAAAAAATTTTCAAAAGAAGATCAATATATTATAACTTAGAGTTTTATGTAAAAAATTTTTATTATCCAAAAATAAACTTGTATATAGAAGAAAAAAAAGCTAGTATTGAAAAAATACTAATTTTTAACTATTTAGTAAAATATATAATAGAAAGAAACAATAATATTGTGTTAGTAATATTTATTAATTTATTATAAAACAAATAACACAAAATTGCAATTTAGAAATAAATTTGTTTAGATCAATTAGTAACAACAAATATAATAATTTTTTTTAATATATTATTATATAGATAGAACATTTGCAACAGTTTTAATAACTTTAATTTATATATTTATAATGTAAAGATCATTTTTTTTGTAAATTTATAAAAACAGTATCTTTTATAAAATAGGTACTTTATTTTTTTTTTTTTTTAAATATTAAGGTGAGTACTTGCGATCCAGGATTTTATTGATAGTACATTCAGCTAATGGTTG